AGGTATGTGTGTATACACATCAAAGCAATAAGCAATATAAACTCCCTTACAGAGATTTCTATTTAACAACATAGTTGTATAAAATTTTTTACAGTAAATATTTATTAGGACACAAATTTTTGGACGCTCCAAGCTTTATACAACAAAATGTAAATGTAATCCCATACAAGTTAAAGAAAGTTCAACATGTACAAGGCCTGTCTTTGGTGTAAGAGCAAAGTGACTTAATGTGTATTTTTAGTTGCACAACTGGTCTGCACCTATGTTCCTTATAAAGGATTAGGGGTTTTGGTTTGTTCTTTGGTCCTCATAAACTTTGAGAAATTTCCTGTCATTCTAGCATGATTTCAGTAAATACTGACTGAGAAAACCCTTCATTGTGACACTGTCTTGAATTAGAAAGTGTAATGAATTTACTTTGATGGAACATTTTGCTGGTTTATAATGATAAAATTCTGTTTTGTACATAATAGGTTTCTCATTTGTAACCGGAATACAATGTTATTAAGTTCATGTGACCACTGTAAGGACTTACTGAAACTGATATATTTACCAGTGGTAAGCTCTTACAATAACCATAGTAGAAATATTGGTAAAATAGAAAGTTGAGAAAGAATATGGAAGAGGTCAGAATTGACCATTCAACTGTCATTATAAGATACTGTACTAACTGGAGAAATCCTCTACTTTTATAGTGTGAATCAATACTGAAGGTATACATTAAGGAAAAAGAAAATCCCTTTACCAAAGATATTTTTAAGTTAAATATGAAAGCCATGGCAAGAACTAAGACAGTATTGTTTTTCAAACATCTACTAAAAAACTGGCAACTCATTTTACTAATGTTATAGAAACAATATCACAAAATAAAAGATAAAATTTGCAACTGACTTTGAACTAGAACTGGGAATTTTCTTATGAGGCTTTTGTGGGAATATATCTAGAACACATTAAAAAAATGTCAAAACACCTAGTGTATACTAAAATTATTCCATAATTAAATCATTTGGTAGTTTAAACAACAATAGAAAATAACTAAAAACTCAAATAATTTAGGGTTTTTTGGAATAAAAGAGTCGGTCATCTTCAGATAAAATATATAGCAATAAAATACCAGCAATGATAGTCACATAGACTATTTTCATAGTCTAAAATTAGTGAAGTTAGACAAAATAAAAATCTTCAGAATACAGTATTAAGTGGAAAATTTTTCTTTATATTTTTCTGTTTTAATAGAATACAGTGATATCTTATGTAACATGCATTTTTTTCCACCTAACAGTATCCATTTGTTAATATAAAATCTATTTAGGCAGAAACATCAAAGTGAAAAATATGACCAATATGCTTCTGGAATACAATTAAGTTATCTCTTCACATTAAACTGTAGGGACCATCCTTTTTTTTGAGATGCCTAGCACAGTGCCTGACAGACAGTAGATGCTCAATAGATGTTTAATAAAAAGCTAAGTACAATCTGTTTTGCACATACATTCAAAATCCAGACAAGTTTGCAATGGTACAAAAGTTGGACATAGGCTTTCTGGCTGACTTCATGGGGTCCCACTGAAGACTAGCAGTAAATCTTCATATCCATAGAAAACTGGAAAGCTGATAATTGTCTGGGTAAGGACCAAAAAAACAAAGTCAGGGAAACATGTCACCTAAGTAACAGTTGCTTTATAGAGCTGGTAAAAGTGGCCTAATCATTCCAATAACCTACTGTATCAGTCATTCAATGAAATGAAATTTAAGTGTATTCTGTACATTTGCTGATATATCTTTAAGTGGAACTTTTTTCATCATCCCTTATTTAAAACAAATTACTTGTGTCAAATTGCATACTATACAAGATTTGGAGGAATATGTTTTTACTTTTTTTAGAGGTATTATGTTGTTAATAAGATTTGACTATTAGAAAAAGTAAGAGCCACAGTAAAGGCAAAGAAAAATATTTCATCATAGTGAAGAAATTGTAGCAGGGGTAAGGACAAAGGAAAAAAAGGAAAGAATCCTATAAAAGGAATAAAAAAATTCAAAAGTACCTAATTCTAACATTGATTATTATGACAAATAACCATTAGGGCCTACTGGGCACCAGACACTTCTTTGAAGGAGATGAGTATTATAAGACAAAAATCTTTAGCCTTAAATAGCTCATAGACAAGACTAACAATTAAATACTTACAATACAATATACACTCTTCTTGCATATAGGAATCCTTAATACTAAAGTAAGAAGTGAATTTGGTGATTATCTGAATGTTTGTGTGTGTGTGGGGGGGGCGGATAAGCATTCAGGGAAAGCTAAAATAATTCTCAAAACAGTGATAGTCCAGAATGAGAGAAATCAGTACCTCTTCCCAAAAAAACCCAACAAATTTCTGAATTATAGATGGACAAAATTATGATTTTAAAGCTTTTTATCTTAATATAAAAAATATGTCTCCATAGAAAATTCCTCAATGCTATATATAAATGCTATATATATAGAAATGTGTGTGATAGTTTTATACCTGACAAAGGAAAATAAGGTAGTTTAGCACAGTGTATGTCAAGCGACCTGAGTTATATGGGCTATGCTGTGCAGAATGCTAGGCCTTGGAACACTGCAGAAGTTCTTCAAGCTCTCTGAACTTCAGCAACATGGAAAATGAAGAGTTGGATAAAGTGGCCTCTTAGATAGCAGCTAGTTTAAAATTAAAGTCCTAAAATATGTCTCAATATTTAAATGTTTTCTGCATGTAAATCATTATCCAACTTGAGAGTCTGGAATCTTCAAACCATAAAGGATTAACACTACATTTCCAAGGGAAAAAAGAAACTAAGTAAAGGTATTGCACTCCAGACAAAATTTTTACTCAGTGGCCTACTGGGCCACTATCATCCCAATATCTACATAATTCACTTCACTTAAAATTGATTTCTTCACTAACCTCCACTTTGAGTCTTTTACATTAAGGTTGCTAAGGTAATAAGGTGATGACAAGAAATCCTAGGTAAGTCTGGAATCACAGCATTGGTATTGGGGGAAAAAAAAAACTTAAACTTGGCAGAGACTTCTGCTTAAGTGCAGCAATTAAACCGTAAAAAAAATTAAGAAATGATTCAAGTATTAACAAAAAGGAGGGAAATAAGACCATATTGCTTACTGCTACACAGCTTTTTCTTTTTACAGCTTTTTCTTTTTGTCTTTTGTAAATGTCTACTTTTGCACACAGTTGGTAATTAAAATTTTACAGAACAAGTTTTGACATAACCAATGTTTTCTGCCACTAAAATATATTATGTTTTAGCTTAATCATTAAGAACATTTAAAAAATTAAAATTATGTTTTTATATTTATGTCAAATATTCTTCTAGATTTATTTTTCTTCAACCATTTCTAGTTGATCAAATTGCTGTTTTTATATTGCCAGTCTGATTAAAAAAATGCTGCTTTACAGAAGAATATTTTTTGCTGACATAAATTATGGGATCAGAAATACCATTTACAAAAAAGAAAGGGAGAGAGAAGGGAAGGGAAGAAGAAGGGAAAGAGAGGAGGGAGGGAGGGTGAGAGAGAAAAAGAAACTCAATGTGTGCATCCATCTTCAAGAAAAGGATAAAGAAATGTATGTATGAAACAAAATACTACTTTCCAGTGTAAGCCCTAGTAAAAGGCCTACATCAAAAACATAGTTCCTAGCACTTCTAAAATAAAATACAAGCAATGAATTTGAAAACCATTCACTAAGAACATACCTCGAAAAAAGATGTGATTTTTATCATGACTTAATCTTTAATGTATTTAAATCTGAATTTAGCTTTAATTTTTTTATCTAACTGAATCAATATACTCTCTTCAACTCCATTTCTTTGACTCATGAAAACATTTTAGAAATATATCACCATATATGTGTGTGTGTATGTGTATGTTATAACATACACATACACACACACATAAACACACACACACAGTGAGCAATTTGGTCAGTACCCTCAGAGATGAAAAACTCATCTCAATTTACAACAGTAAATAAATAATTCATTTTAAACTGAAAGTGCTACCAAATCCAGCAAACTATTGATGGAGAGGTTTGGCCTTCCATGAAGGCAGAACAACATAAAGTTTTCAATGGGGATTACTTGTGAAGACAAGTTACAAAGATAAGAAAAATACCCAGATAAATTATGAAATAGCTAAAATTCTCATCTTAATAGAAAATAAATATCAAGAACGTGTGTGCGGAGAGACAATACCACTAGTACTTAAACTTCAAGCATTTTAGGCGTGTAACTTTATATACTGATAAACGAAACAAACATTTAACAAAACAAAAACCAAAAAAAAAAAATTAACAATAATAAGTCAAAACCTAGCCGAAGGCCTCAATCAACTAAAAACTTGAATTTTTCTATGCAAGTCAGACAAAACGAAAAAAGGAAAATTAAATCCAGAAAGCAAAAACCAATCAAGTCTGTTCCAACACTGAAGTCAATAGCCAAATCACATACAGAACCAAAAAGGGGAAAACACTCAGGTCTACAAATGGATAAGCAGTTCCAATACAATCCAGATCCCGACATTTTCCCACTCAGAAACAAATGCAGTGGAGCTTTCCTGGGGAAAGAGGAAAAAAGCTATCCAAATGAATTTTTTAAGTGACATCCAGAAAGTGTCTGTCTTTCTCTTTCCCTGGTGCCTCATTGGAGGAAGGAGGGGGTTGTTTTTGTATTCTCCCCCACTGTAGCAAGACACAATCAGATGTTAGCTGGAGGAGAGAAACCAGTTTTGACAACAGCAAATAAAAATAAAAGTGCCCTTCCTCCTCTGACAGGATGGGCACCCCACCACACACACCCCTCCCCACTCCAACCCCTCCTTCACTCCCCCACCCCCCAGCACCACCCCCTCCTCACCCCGGAGCTCCACTGCGTATGTGGTTTGGTGCTACTGTTGCCCCGGAGTAAAAGTCAGAGCCAGAGGAAGGCAACGAAGCCCCCACAGACACACTTACCTTTCCTGCCCCCCACTTTTGAGTGCCTTCCCTGGAGCTGTGGAGGATGACACAAAGGGTAATAAAGGGGGGGAGTGGAGGAGGAGGAGGCGAAGGAGAAGGAGGAGAGCTGGGGAAGTGGCTGCTCCTGGGTGTAGTGAGATGTCTCCAGCCAGGGCCAAACAGCAGCAGCAGTAGCAGCAGCAGCAGCAGCAGCAGCAACAGCAGCAGCAGTAACAGCAGCAGCAGCAGCAGCAGCAGCAGCAGCAAAGGGTCTGTGTTGCTAAGAGGCTTTTGGTCTCTTTCTCTCCTCCTCTCACGGCCAAAGAGGAGGAGGGTGGAGGGGGCTCGGGAGGGAGGCTAGTGGTGGGGTGAGGGAGTAGGAGTCGTGGATGGAGGTTTTCGAAGAAGAAGAAACTCCTTCTCCTTCTCTCTCAGGCTCAATCCCCCTCTCAGGGCTCAGGGCTGGAGGGTGGGGGAAGGAACTCTGCCGCCTTTCCCCCCACCCCCCTCAATTCAAGGTTGAAGTGGGGTAAAATTAGTGTCCTGTCTCTTTAAAAATAGAAATAAAAGGTGCCCCCCCTCTGCCACTGCCTCTCTCTTCATCATCAGCTGCTGCTGCTGCTGGGGTCTCTCTGCTTGGGGGGGGAGGGGGGGTTCGGGTAGAAGAGACGGGAGGCACTCACTGCGCATGTCCCTCTCTGACGGGAGGCTGGTTGGTTGAAGGCAAGAGGAGGGGGAGGGGAGGAAATGAGATGATTTCCCAGAAGGCTCCGAGGCTCTCGCGACCCGGAAGACATTGTAGCAGGGGGTAGAGGGGCGGGGATGGGGAAGAGAAGGAAGTCGCTGCTTTCTAACACCTCCAGACCCCTCCTCCCTCCTAAGGGAAAGTGGAGGAACGGAAATGGGCGTGGTCGAAGGTGAAAGGAGGTCACGTGTCTGTACCGGAGGCGGGCCGAAGAGAGAAGGGATGCTCGCGCGGTGCACGGCGGGAGTAGTTCTGTACCGTTGGTAGCAGCAGGTGAAGACTAACTGACTACGCGGCGAGGTGAGCTCGTAAATTGATTTCCGTGGTCGCAGGATCTCCTTGTAGCGGTATTTAGCGCTGGTTTTTCTGTAAGAGGTAATACGGAATTAGCTGGTCTAGAACGGACAGGAGCACCTGGGCGAAAGACGAATCGAAAGGGATTTGGATGGAAGGCTGAGCAGACTGGGAATGCGGGAAGAGGGAACAGGATTATGTAGGCCTGGCGGGCCCAGACTAGGCGATCTCCTAATGTCTCGTTTGCTGGTGAGCCTGGTGACAAATCCCAGAGGAAAGCACACAGGGAGTTCCAAGACACTAGATCGGTGACAGTTGGCGACTACACGCGTGTGGCTGCGGAACATGATGATGTTGCTAAGAGAGAAACTGATCTCTGGAGCGTCAGTGGTTCACTGGTGACCGCGGCTTCAGCTCAGAGTACGGGGCCTGCCCAGTGAGATAGAGAATCCCCGTACGAATTTTGACAACTTCTAGCTTCAAGTGCATTACTTATATTGGGTATAATTACCATCAGTGCTTACCTCTGTCCTCTCTGAAATTCTGGAATGGCTTTGGGAAGGAAGCAGCAGGAAAATCCCTCCCTGTATTGTGTTGTTGCTGCAACCCAATGCCTAAGCCTGCTTTCAGAGAGGATAATAGGGTTGTATAGTCCTTGATACCGAGTATTAACGGAGGGTAGTTTCCCCTTTCTATAATGTAACTGAGAGATTTTTAATGGGTATTTGTTTTAAGTTTGTTTCGTTACTGGACTCGGATTTTGACACTTGGATGATCTTAATTAAATGGTTCCTCTTTATTGGCAGTCGTGTTTTACTTACAAGGTCAATATTAATTCAAAATATGAGTACATAAGTAACATTTTACTAAAATAGCAATTTTTTTTACACTCACTGTATATAGTCTTTACTAAAACCATTACAATCTTTCGATTATCTTCTTTGGTAAAAGTATTTTGAAAATAATCACTCATTTATGGCTTCTAAGACGTAAGAATTTAAAATTCCTCGTGTTTTATTGTGTTACTGTTTAATTCTGTAAGACATCCTTAGGGGTATACTATCCATTAAAGGTACTATGTATTTTCTGCTTTTTACTTGTGTGTTTTGGCAGTGGATCTTATTTATTCATCATAGCCTGTGATCACTGTCAAAGTCAAGAACAAGAAGGCTGGCACCACAAACATACTCTTCCATCACATCTCACCCCTTGTCCTTCCTCACCACTTCCAAAGTTTAACCAACGTAGATTTTCGTAATTATTGCCTAATTTTATTTCAAGTGTTTTTTTTTAAGTAACCTATAGTAGCAATCTTAAATATTTTCTTGCCTGTAGTTTATATATATATATATATGTATAGTTTGCCTGAATATAGATAAAATATACATGTACATTAGGTATCATTTTTCTCTTGTTAGTACATCTGGTTTTATTACATATATATTCATTTCTATACAGTAATGCCTATAGTACAATAATTATAAAATAGTGTTTTTACTTACTAAACTAACTAAACTGCAGTTTACTAGTGTAATGTTCATTCACATTATGTCTATTATTTAGAATTATGAACAATGCTACTACAAATGATCTCAAATGTATTTTTATGCACATAAAATGCATTTTTTAAGCGCGTGCTCTCTCTCTCTATATATATATATACACATTTATATACACACACTCCATTAGATTGTGCCAAATGTCTCCAAAATGGGTATATCAATTTATACTTCTACATGATGCATGGCTGGGTTCTACAGTCTAAGAGTTGATTTTTTTTTTTTTTGCCAACCTGATAAATGTCACTTTATATCATTGTTTAGTTTCCATTCCCCTTGTTCGTAGGGAGGCTTAGCTGTTTGAAAATTTATTGGCTATTTGGAGTTCCTCTTTGAATTTCTTTTGTCTTCCATGCAATTTTTCTATTGGGTTGTCCATTTTACTGAAATATTTGAGTAGCGTGGTAACTAACTTCTCAATGCTTAGAGCTTTCCTTTATTCCCACTTAATAATTATCTCCATTCTGTTCCTTTCTGTTTCTTTTTTTTTTATTTGTTTATTTATGCATACAGAGTAGGGTACAGGCCAGAGGTGCACAGGCGGTGAGAGGATTCACCAGAGACAGTGGGGAGCAGAACAGGTGGACTAACAAAGTTCACTGCTGAGGGGAGCAGTGGGCAGGCCAGGAGACATCTGCTGCTCCATGTGAATCACCCCCTGGGTGGGATCGAACTCATGCTGAAGTGGCTTTAGCTTCTTAGTGCTGTGCTTTAACCTGCTGAACCAACAGGGAGGGCCCCTTTCTGTCTTTCATGCTCTTGTTGCTATGTGAATGTTAGCTGCAGGGAAAAGATTCTATACCTGTGTGCTGTCCAAATCAGATGACACTACATGTGGCTATTAAACCATTAAAATGTGACTAGTGTTACTAATAGATTGAATTTTTACCTTCATGTGGCTTTTATTTATATGAAAATTGATATTTGATTTAGTTATTGGAAAACTTTTAACTGCTTGCAACAACTAGAGTATATAAATTTACTTTTTCATCTGTAAGTTTATAATAAAAATAAAAATGAGTTACAATTTAGCAACCTGTCATGTTCTGTAAATGGCACACACCAGATATCTAAGACATAATATGAAAACAATACAAAGTACGTCAGCTGTTTATTATGACTACATGTTGAAATTCATTGTAACTTAATTTTACCTTTTTTCCCTTTTTAATGTGGGAACTAGAAATTTTAAATTATGTGTGTGTGGTATTGTACTTTATTGGACAATTTTGTTCTCTAACATCATCGTTTAATTTCTTGTTCTTATGATTTTTAAAAAATAGTATAATAGTTTATTTTTACATCACTTTGTGCATTCTTTCATCTCAGCTGTAACCCTGTGGGCTTCCCATCACCAAATTACCCATGTGTCATCACCATAGTCCAGTGCATTTCCCTCCCCTCACCTCCCCACTGTTTTTGATCCCATTTCCCACTCTACCTCCATAAAATGTCTCTGGTATATAACTGTTCATTATTACTAATTATTTTCTCTCCTAGTCCATTATACTCCTGCTGTGGGTGTAACCATCCAGAATTTTTCCTTTTCTTTCTGGCTTATTTCACTAAGCACAATCTTTTCCAGCTCCATCCATGTTGCTGCAAAAGGCGTGTGTGTGTGTGTGTGTGTGTGTGTGT